CACACACACACACACACACACACACTCACATACACATGCACATACATTCTCCTGTCTATTGATGGGGAGCGCCACCTGCTGGAAACTGGGTCCAGTGTCCCATGAACATCGTGAATAAGGCATCAACCGGGACCCCCCCCACACACTCTCTTCGAGTTGTGTATAGCGAACATGACCAAACATACATACAACAGATTCACTACCTTACCCTTCCCGAACCACATAAACAAACGAACTACGGGCTGCGCACCCGTGCCCTCACGGTAAGTCAATCCGCAATTTTGCCAAGAACCGGTCCCCTAATTTTTTTTGCCCCCTAAGAACCCACTTTGCGTCCTGGTCTCCCGCCGCCAAAAATGAGACACCTTAACACACACGCCGAAGCCTACTATACCGGTGACCAGGACGCAGAGTGGGTTCTTAGGGGGCAAAAAAATTTGGGGGACTGGTCCTTGGCAAAATTGTGGACTACCTACAGCTAGCTCTGGTAGAACCAGGGCTTCTGGAGAAAGGAAGGACCGGTCCTCGGGTGGAAGCGAACCCCAAAAAGAAGTGAGGGTATGTGAACTGCAAAAGGGCCATCAGGCCCAGGCGTTAAGGCCGGTCTTCTCAAAACAGGGAGGTCAGGTGCAACTAAACAGGCATTTCGCAAGAGGCAACGGAACACAAACACACACACTAATGTTGACACATACACAACAAATACTCCTTTTTTTTCATGCAAAAATAACCCTACTTCTAAACCTCACCAATAAAGCCTCCTTTATCAATCAAGCATATACAAACTACGGGCAGCGCACCCGTGCCCTCACGGTAAGTCAATGAACCTTTCGAGACTTTGCCGAAGCACTTTTGTGTGACTCCGGTGTATAAGCGCAACCTATGGGCTGTAAATTTTCTGGACGAGGAAAGCTTTCCTTATCGGGAACCCCCGACCGAAGAAGCTGCCCAAAAATTGTGGTGCGGTGATCACGTTTTCCCTTCCCCACCGCCAAGGGGTTCGGTTAGGCTTGAGTGAAGCTTTCCAACCCCTAGGATTGGCGGAAGCTTTCCAAGCGCCCAACTGCCGCCACGCATGCGCAAAGCGCAGCCTCCTGGCCGCGAACAGTATGGTTCCTGGTTTTTGGCGCGGAGTCATCGCGGACCCATTCTCCGGAAACATCCGCAGTGACGATGACTGACGGGCAGGCTGCCTGTGGATGACTTGGGTTGGGTCCTCGGATGTGAAACGGAGTGGTGGGGTTGATGTCTGTGTGTCTAAGACAGGGCCATGTCTAATAGCCCAGCGTGGGTGGGGAGTTGTGCGTGGGGGTCGATCAAGGACAGACACGTAGATTGGTCGGGACACGATTCTGCATACTCACGGGCGGTGGATGCAGGTGTCGTCAACACTTTCGACGCGATCTGGTTGGCAGGTTATCAGGAGGGCTACGACTGGCAAGGAACGTTGGATCTCCATCAGTCGGGAGGGCCATAATAGGCAATAAATGCCAACTGTGGACTCTTGGCGTTGCACGTGGCCTCGTCCTCAGCCCGCGATGTGGAGGTGGAGATCTGATCACGCTGCGAAGAGGTCTGGTAGGTAGGAGAACACGCCTGGCCCGTCTGGTAGGTAGGAGAACACGCCTGGCTCGTGTGCTTGGCGTGCGTCGATCGATCGGCATCATCTCGTTTTGATTGGGTCTCTGTTGCCTACGCTCCCGGGCAGCGCTGATTGACGGGCGATAGGATTTGCCCTTCGCACTGTGCGATCGGCCTCACTTTTCCCTTTATCGTCCAACCAATTGTTTGTTTGCCGAGGGGAAGAGAGACAAATCGGGCTGATCGCTTGGCCGCTGCCGCGCCGGGTTGATGCTGGAACGTAGCAGCCAACAGGCAGCCGGAAGGAGGGTAAACCCCGAAATATCGAAATCGGGGTTTTGGTCGTTCTGAGGTAGAAAGCGGGTCAAGGGTGTGACGGCGTGGGTGAACATGAGAAGGTGACGAGGCAGGTGATTTGCGGAGCTCGGCTGGACGTCGAAGAACAAACTACTGCAGTAACGGAGAAATGGAGAGGGAGAGTTGGAAAGGCATCAACCCGACAGGAACGGTGGAAGCTGGAAGAGAACCAGGCGCACATAAGCGAGGATACAACGCATGATAACTAGTTTGGTCCTTCTCTAAATTCAGTTGGGTTGACGGGGGGGATCGAGGTAACGAGTCGGGAGAGTCGTGGTGCAGTGCGGCGACTTGGTTAGCAACTTGCACGAGTCCAGAGGAAGGAGAGAGAGAGGGAGAGAGGAAGGGAGTAAAGGAAGGAGAGAGGGAGGAAGTAAAGGAAGGAGAGAGGGAGGAAG